GGCATCTTTGGCTCTAGGACACTCGTCAGTCTGGCCAAATCTTTCCTGGATTCTTTCTTCCTGTCTCCTGTCACAGTCTGGCAAGGAAGAGCAAAGGCTCTCCTGCCATCTCAGGCTTCCTCTCCCTGATCCTTCAAAGGTGTTTTCTTCCAATGCGCCTCTTTAACTTCTAATCCCTTGGCTTCTGATTCTTGGAAGACCTAAACCAACACAATGCAGTTAACAGCATAGCATACACCCACATAAGAAAACAGAAGTGAGCTTGAAGGCAGTGCAGCAGCAACTATTCAAAATTAGGGACAGAAAGAAAAAGGCCAAAAACAAATGGGCAGAGTCACAGGGACCTGTGGAAAACAGCAAATCACCTAATGCATGGATACATAAGAGTCCCCAAAAGGGGGAGGACAGAAAAAAATCTGAATAATAACCAAACATTTTCCATGTGTTCTGAAAATGATAATCCTGCCACCCAAGACACTCAATGAACCCCAGGCAGGATAAATACCAAGAAAACCACGCAGAGGCAATGCCATAATTAAATTATGAAAAACTAATGAGAAAAAGATCACGAGAGAATCTTACAAACAACCGAAGGGAAAAAGGTTCGTGAGGCACAAGAACCAAAGTGAGGAAGAACTGCAGACTTCTCACCAGGAACTGTGCAAGCCAAGAGGCAACGGAATATCTTTTATGTGTTGGAGGGGGGAAAAACTGTCAACCTAGAATTGTATATCAAATGAAAATACCCAGCAAAATGAAGCTGAACTACGTATTTCAGAAAAGCAACAGCTAAGAGAATTCACTGCTCCCAGATCTGTTCTGTAACAACTGCTAAAGGAAGTTATTCACACAGGAGAAAGATGATGCTCGGTGGAAACTCAGATCCACACAAGGAATAAAGCACATCAGAAATGGTGGAGGGAAGGATAAAAGACTAAAAAATTCTGTTTCAATCTCTTCAAAAGTTACCGTTTAAAGCCAAAATCACAACAGTCCATTGTGTGGTTTCCGGCCAAGTGTATGAGAATAACAGCACAAAGAACACAGAGGGCAGGAACAGCTGTGGCCTCGGGCCAGATACCTGCATTCTGTGTGAGGCAGTTAAATGCTGACAATGTGTGGGTTGACTGTGACAAGTTAGATGCCCATGGTGAAACCCTAAGGCAATCATCAGAAATGAAATAAAGAGGGATAGCTCATAAGTCCACAAAGGAAATAAGACGGAACTACAGTACATAACCAGTCTAAAAAGAACCCAGGAAAAGATGTAAATGTACATCTCATCTGCGATGATACATAGTTGAAATGTAAGGTAAGAAGGAATAGGTAATTCAGCCAGAGAGGGCACCTCACCTCCCTCTAAGAAAGTTCCTATCCAAGGTTTGGCTAATGACAACAGATGTCACTGAATCATTCATTTGTATGGACAAACTTCTCTGCGTCATTATTTCAGTTTTTGCAAAGACAGCCTCTAACACTTAACAGCCCTACCTACTGCTCTATGCAGTTACTTATCGAAGAACCATGGTAATGAAAGAAGTACCACATAAAAACATTCTCAAAAGGGACTTTGTAAAAAGGAAGAAGAAAAGAATTTATTTGGTGAGTGAGTGTGATTAACTTGATAGATCTATCTCAGGAAATGTCATTCAGGAGAAAGCCAAAGAAAACTCCTGAACAAGCATCTCCCTGCCCAGGTACATCACAAAGGTCTCCAAGAAGACCTTCCTTGAGCGCGGCAGCTGACTTGCTATTCCTGGCCAAGGCCATGGCTTTTCTCTATTGAACGCCTATGCCACTCACTCTTCTTGTGAAGTGCTATCCTGAGCCACCTCTGCCTCCTCGAATCATGCCATGAAATAATGCCCCTTCCTTCTCAGAGCTCCCTTCATCCTTCGACTTTTCCTTTAGTACTCATCAAAAAGTTATGTCCAATGCAATCACTGATATGCTCACTGATACTAGCGGGCAGCCTCTAAGTAGAAACCCTTTCACTAGTGTTATTCCATGTGACCCTGACAGCGTGAGGTAAAGGTAGGCACAGTCTCTATTTTAAGAGACACGGGTGTTCAGAGACTTGACTTGCCCAAGGACACATGGCTAGCTGGTGGCAGGCTGACAGAGAAGCCCAGGCCTTTTAATGATCAAGTCCAGGATCTTTTTCCCACTATACCATGTAAATATTCGTTGAATTAAACTGTGACTTTTAGTGTGCTAACTCTTAAAAATAACATAATAAGCTCTTTCCTCAATCATATACTACTTATATGAGGTTTTACTGAAATCCCCTCATTCCCTCCAATTTTCCATTTATCTGTCAATCAGCACATAGTAAACGTATGTTGCTCAAGGTCTCAGCTATGAGATTTCTTGGGTGTCTGTTAGGTTATGATCCACAATCCACTCCACCCCGACAAAGGTGACTCCAATCTTTCTGTAGCTCCTTTCGTAAGTAACTCAAAGAACTTCCCTTGGGGGATGTTTATATCCTAGTAGTCACCTCAGGGACATTCAAGGATGCTCACAGTTTCCCAGTTGAAAGAGTTTTCATGAAGGACGTGTGTGTGTGTGTGTGTGTGTGTGTACATGTATACATATATTTGTAAATATATTGATAAATATTAAACATACTTATAAATAAATATATGTATATTCCAGCAACAAATCCTTTATTGTACTACTGTAAATATAAATTAAACAAAAAAAAGGATTGAGTGAGGGCGGCCTGTCTACTGGGTCGGCTTCACTCCGCTGGGGCAAGAAATGGGTTATGCCAGGCATGACTGGCTCCCCTCTCTCTAGATGCACTAAGGAGCTCCGAACTACTGCACAGTTCCGGGGTGATTTGGAAATTCCAGTTTCCAACTCCTATTTTCCATTATAACATATAAATGCTAATGGATTCTGCTTAGAATTTTTCATTAATTTTAAAGAAGAGGATTATAGATATTAAAGACATTTCTCTGATACACAATTTCCCTTAATTTCCGTTACTGTAGAACACAAATCCAGTATAACAAAATTGGCATCAATTTTCAAAAAATCTTTTATCAGTCAACTTTCAAAAACCATATTTTTGTTTTGAAAATGTGTGTTCTATTTTTTAGCACATAAAACTACAGCTTCCTACAAATATATCATTATTTAGCTGTCAAATTTGTTGCAATGAGTATTAACAACAGTTCAAATGTCTTAATCCTCCTTAACTCTTATTAGCTGTGAATAACAGAAAAGTTCCTAACCTAAGCGCTTGTTTTAAACCTGAAAATGGTATGCTTTCTAAAAATTCTAAAATAAATAAAATAACATGTCAACATACAGTGAAGTCAGGGCACTTGGTTTTCCAGATTGCAGGGAAGACATTATCTTATCACTTTCCATCAGCAGACAGGCAGATACCACATACCAGCAGCAATCACATACAAACCAATGTACCTGGTAAAGAGCACCCTTCAGGCCAGTCATCTTCTTCGAGTGACACATGCTGATAATTTTCTATATACAGAGATGTAAATAACTGGGGCATACAGATTAATGCTGAGTTTCAATGATTAATTTTCACAGTGCATGTGGCAGGGCACAAAGTGGAGAGAACACTGAAGGCATTATGCATTTACTTTCAAACCCAATTAAGTAACTTCTAAACTGAAAATTTGTATTTTAACACAACTAGATACCAAACTGAGTTCCAAGTAAGGTCTGAATGTCACGAGGAATCTAAAGCAATCACGTCCTGCCTTCCGTCTCCAGCATGTTTAGGTAAACTGATCCTAGTGCTTTTCGGTAAGGTGAATTTCATAAAGGCAAGAACATACAGTATTAACATTAAAGTTATTAAAAACATCTCTATTTTAAAAAACGGTAAGGGAGAACTCAATACTGAAAATGAAAACAACTTGAGATAGTAAAAGAAATAAAAATAGCAGGAGAGAAAACAGAAGATTCTGTTGTCCTAGCAACTATCTTGGACACGATCAGCTTCGAGGAGGAAGTGCAGTATCTTAACGGCATCTGGCCTCCTTCCATTGAAAAGAGACTGGATTGGTAAAGTAGAAACCAAATCACAGTTTGTCTGATCCAAGGCAGGGCTGCACAGAAATAAAAAGTGACCTGATACAATGTTTAAAACGTGACTTTAAAGAATTAGCAGCCTGTCCTGCACACATTCAGTATTTTCATGAACTTACACAGGGTCAATTCCAAGCACAGAATGAGGGTCGCCAATAAAAAAGGTGTTCATAAATACTGCTCAGACCCCAGGTACACATGCCCCTCTGAAAGTGCTGCTTTACTTATTTATTTACTTTTATTTAATTTTAGTTTTTCTGAGATGGAGCCTCACTCTGTTGCCCAGGCTAGAATGCACTGGCAATTCTGGCTCACTGCATCCTCTGCCCCCCGGGTTCAAGCGATTCTCATGCCTCAGCCTCCCGAGTAGGTGGGATTACAGGCGCTTGCCACCATGCCCGGCTAATTCTTGTGTTTTTAGTAGAGGCAGGGTTTCTCCACGTTGGCCAGGCTGATCTCCAACTCCTGACCTCAAGTGATCTGCCCGCCTCGGCCTCCCAAAGTGCTGGGATTACAGGCGTGAGCACCGCACCCCATGAAAACGCTGTTTTAGATGAAAACTTGGATTCCTGAGGCATCAGTGCCCTAGCGCGGGGTGTCGCCTAGAGTGTGGACAGGCGCCTGAGAGCCACCAGGACACTAGCCAGACCTGCGACAGGACTGGTCAAAAACTCCAAGGTCACAGGACCAACAACACCAAAAATCATAAACCCTTCTATTCATATGAAAATCTAAGATCCACTCTATTGTGAAAAGGTCTTTCTTTACTAGTCTGTGTACCTGTGTCACCAGCATGTTCATCAAATGAGAGTTTGGATGTCCCCTCCAAATCTCATGCTGAGATGTAATTCCCAGTGTCAGAGGTGGGGCCTGGTGGGAAGTGTCTGGATCGCGGGGGCGGATCCCTCATGAATGGCCTAGGCCATCTCCTTGGTGATGAGTGAGCTCTTACTCTGAGTTCACACAAGACCTGGTCATTTAAAAATATGTGACACTCCGCCACCAAAGACCCGGTCATTTAAAAATGTGACACTCCGCCACCAAAGACCCAGTCATTTAAAATATGTGACACTCCGCCACCAAAGATCCGGTCATTTAAAAATGTGACACTCCGCCACCAAAGATCCGGTCATTTAAAAATGTGACACTCCGCCACCAAAGACCCGGTCATTTAAAAATGTGACACTCCGCCACCAAAGACCCGGTCATTTAAAATATGTGACACTCCGCCACCAAAGACCTGGTCATTTAAAAATGTGACACTCTGCCACCCCATTCTCTTGCTCCTGCCATGTTAGGATGTACCTGTTTCCCCTTTACCGTCTGCCATGACTGTAAGTTTCCTGAGGCCTCCCCAGAAGCAGAAGTTGCCATGCTTCCCGTACAGCCCGCAGAACTCTGAGCCAATAAAACCCTTTTAAGTAAATTATCCAGTCTCAGATATTTCTTTATAGCAACATGAGAACAGCCTAATACAACCCCCATGCCTTAGTCTGTGCACGGTGCTCCCCCCAGGGGCCCTGCAAGAAGCAGCGGAATGGGAAGCAGCATGGCCACCCGATCACACTTGCCCAAATATGAGTCCTGCCCTCCCAGAAGCTGCAGGACCTCAAAAAGCCACTGTGTCCAACTGCTCATTTGCAAATGGGAATAAGAATAATAGTGCCTTCTTGTGGCAACAGCATGGTGCCCAGCACACAGTAGGTGCTCGGGGTGACCTGGCATTGTTACCACTGTGATCAGCAGCAGAAGTGGTGCCCCTTCAGCCTCCATCTCTCTGCTCTTTCCCCTTCCTGTCAGGTCCTATTCAGCCCATGACACTCCATTCCCCAGCCCATAATCCTTCCTTCCACCAGCCTCTCCCCACCTCGCAGGCCACGGCTGCCAGATTAATCCTAAGAGCCTCCTGGCTCAAGCGTCGACACTTCCTATTGCCAACCACCCTCCCAGAACCCAGCCCGTTGGTTCTGTATCTCTTGCTGTTTTCAACCAAAGCCACGGCACCAGCCAGAAAAATGTCATCTTAACCATCACTCCACGTCATCCATTTAGTAGTCTTACCTTGAGCTAACTTCTCTGGATCTCTGTTTTCCAATCCCTTAAAATTTATCTGATAGGGTTTCTAATAGTCAAGAAGTTACTCTAAATAAAGCCCATAAATCCTCAGGATCTATGAATCTTAAATTCTGGTTCAAATTCCAACACTTCTGACAACCTTTCTTAATTATCCCATCAATGCTGATAAGAAGTTCTTTATACTGTAATTCAAGACTTGGTTATATAACAATGTGCAAGGCTAATTTGATTATATGGAACTCCTCGGGTTCATCTCATGCCTGCTGTAATCCCACGTGGCTTAGGATGAAAACTAAGCTCCACAGCCCACCCCAAGACCCTGTGCGATCTTCCCCCCACTCGTCACCCTCCCACCTGCTCTGTCTCCTTTCCCTTCAGATCATGCTCGTCCCAGGGCCACTATCTCCTTTCCCCTCACATCATGGCCCTTGCCGGCCATGCCCTGCAGCCTCCGGCCTTCACAGCCATCCTCCTCCTCCCTCAACTGCCCCCCAAGACTCTTCTTTGTCTACTTGGCAAACTCATACCCATCCTGTGAGATGCGAGCCTTCAGACCACAGACACAGCAGCCTACTGCACATCCCTATCCTCTCACGGGTCCCCACAGCCTCTGCGATTCCATCGCACCCTCTGCGCACGTGCCTCTGCCGAGTCTCCAGGGTGTGGACACTGGGCTATGTCTCCAGCCCTGGTGCAGTGTCTGGCACCGAGTGCAGTGAAATGGGGGCCAGATGAATGCACAGGGAAGGTGGAGCTCCCGCCGACAGGCTGAATGGCCTTGAGAGCACTGCAGAGTGACAAGCAGGAGCCACAGCAGAAGGCGAGGCGACTCCACCATGTGGAGCCAGAAACTATGAGCTGCAGCAGAGGCTGTGAGAGCTCAGAGTGGCCCTAGGAAGGAGTTCCAGTAAAAAGACATGATTCCCTCAGTAAGAGCAGCTCCGAGAACACTAGCAACTTCTGGGGCATCACTGATTTAGACAACTGCATCCCAAACAGCAGCTGTGCACCTCTTAATTACACAAGGGCAAACAAAGCAAAAATTACAGAACCCCAAGAAGAAAAATGAGTTGGCTGGACCCTTCCTAGACTCAGGTCTTGGTGCCTTTGACTCCATCCAGTCACAGGAAGAGCTGGGAAACCTTCCCCCCCAGGAGATCTCCCCAGACTCAGACTGGAAGCCAGGTTCAGGGATAAGGAAAGACAGACGAGAGAGACAGGAAGTCTACAATGGGTAGCTGGAGCTTCTTCCTAACTAACGAATGCCACTGGACCCCAACTGCCATCTTCTCGCTTAGTTCAAAGTCACCCATCCATTGGCAGGTACAGGTGGGCGGGCACAGGAACCTGGGATCCAGAGCGAGCGCCACGAGCTGCCACTGTTCCTGCCAGTGTCCCACCACCGTCCCTGAGTGTGGCATGCTAGGCCCTCTAACTCGTCCCTGATGCTGCTCCTGTTTCTGGAGTCCCCATTCAAGCGTGCAGTTGATGGGAAACAGCAGGTTTCCCAGACACCTAGAAAAGGCAGCCAGACCCTTCATGCAGGTGAGAGGATTCACAGGGACAAGAACCACTTCATGTAGGTGAGAGGATTCACACGGACAAGAACCACTGTGTGGAGATCTGACCCACTGCGTGCTCCACAGCTGGACGAGCGTGCCCCTTACAGGCCAGTCAAGACATCTCCAAGATGAATCTGCTCCAGAAAGACTCATGAGCCATCACATCCAGGATGTTCAACCATGCATATTTATTATGTTAAGCACACAAACTGCTGCTTTCACGCTAGGAGAACATAAATGTGACACATCAAATGGCTGTAATCTACTGTCTGGAACTGGCCCTGTGATGTTAAGAGCACCAGTGGATTTTAATCAAGGAATGAGATGCTTCAATGACAATGGCCAACGTGGTCACTGGGCCTGGTCAACCACCCAGCATGGGTCAGCTGGCTTTCTCACCTACCCTCCCAGCACCCTGGATGTAGGTTCTGTGCCTCCACTCCACACATGGCCAATCCAACAGAGAGTGTCTCCCCGTGGGAGGAAAGAGCCCTCACCCATCCCTCCACCTCCCCTCAGCAGACTAGGTTGGGGTCCTATGAAACGAGCGGTGATCTGGCCTGGCCATACCTGCTTGGTGAACTTGGATCTCTGATGAGCCGAGAGGCCCCGCCCGCCGCCTCTGGGATCCCTGCTCCATCAACGGTCCCATTCCTCTCTTGCGTTTTTTCTCTCTTTCCACAAGCACTTACCCTTTTGTCTATAAACACACTGAGAATGCCTCAGCCCTTAAAAACAAGACAAAACAACAAGCTATAGAAGATGGAATCTCTAATTCCCACCAGTCTCCTGACACTTTTCTCAAAGTTCACCTATGACCTGGTCATCAACGCAGTATCCTGGGCGTGGTCAGCCTTCACCACCCCTGACCTTCCTGCAGCCTCTGAAAGACACTGAGGCCCCGCTACAGGCTCCTCTGCTGGTGCCCAGGGCCCATGCGGTCTGGCCTGCCTCCTAACACTCTGACAAGCTTAGTCCTCTTCACCAGCTCCTCCTCCTTTCAGCAGAAAGCTCCCCTGGACCAACCCCGACTGGACCACTCACAGGCCAGCTTACACAGCACACCAAGTGGCAGGATCTGCTCCCGCTGGACCACAGGCACTTCTATCCCTCCCACCAAGTGGTATGAGTCAGTGGTCTGTTTCCCAGCAGCGATGCCAGTTGTACTTGTCACTGCAATTACAAAATTTAATTAAATGTTATGAAAACTATGAGTCTGAAAAGGAAGAGCTGCTGTTCTGTTAAAACTAGGCTGAAACACTTTGGAACCATTTGATAAAGGTGAGTCGCTAAAATAAGGTCTATTGAAATAGGTGTGGGCGAACCACCTGTAGGTGATGTGGGGAAGAATTCTGTCTTCCCACTGTTTGTATGCTTTTTAGAAACCTAAAAAAGGAGTTTCTGCTTATAAAAGAATTTGAGCTCTAATAAAAAGTGTCTTAAAAGACATGGAACTCTTTTCATATGAAAGTTAGAATAACGGCTTTGTTTCAATGTATAAGCTCCAAACAGATTTCAGAAATTTGCTCAGACACAGGGTGGGCGAGCTTCCCCAGCATCACGCCACTCCCTGAGAAGTGCTCCCCTGAGAAGTGCTCCCCTGAGAAGTGCTCCCCTGAGAAGTGCTCCCCCGAGTAACACTTTCTGGGCTCCTCCATCCATCAGTAAATTCAACACAAGGGTCAGGAAAAGATCCATGAGGAAGTATGCCTGGGATTCCCAAACTAAAGCCTTTATACCAAAGTCCTGTTGTTACAAATGGCACATTCCTATCTTAGAGCCCCACCCCACCCAGCTGCCCCTACCTGTCTCTAATGCGCTTTATAGCAAGACCCCAGAGTTGGGGGAACTCGCTCCACCCCTTTCCTCCAGTCACACACACAACTCTGCAGGAGAGGCAACACGGCAGAGGCCCAGCGCTCCACCGCCCGGTGAGGAAAGGCCACCACCAGGCCCTCAGAGCCCGCTCCCCACCCTGCACCTCCTCCCTGACTCCCTCTGCTGGAATCCTTCAGCAACAGTCTGCTTAATTCTGAAAACCTAAACAGCAAAGAAGCAACTTGGCTGGGCAAGGAGGAGCGACAATGCCTCTGGTGAGTCGGGGCTCTTGGGAAAAGAGATGATGCCTACTCTCAGGGCCCCAGCCCATGGCACCAGCACTCTCACCTGCACCACCAGGATCCTCCCTGACCGCCTTGGCCCTCTGCCTTTGCCCCACAGTTGAAACTCAAGATGGCAAGCAGAGCAACCCTTTGAAACTGAAACCCAGATGCTGCCACTCTCTGGCATGCCAACGCCACCACCTCACCAGGAGTACAGCTGAACTGAGGTCCCCGCAGCAGCTGCGGACCCCGGCTGACCTTGGCCTGCTGCCTTTTCACCTCACTCCCTGCTCAAGCTCACCCCACCTGCGTCACACCTCACCATGACAGGCTCTTCTCTAGCTCCAGAACGTGTCCACCTGTTCCTGCCTTCCAGGGGGCGCCTGCCCCTACACCCCCACATCCCTCAGTCCCCTGCAGCGCCTGCCCCTACACCCCCACATCCCTCACTCCCCTGCAGCGCCTGCTCCCCTACACCCCCACATCCCTCAGTCCCCTGCAGCGCCTGCTCCCCTACACCCCCACATCCCTCACTCCTCTGCAGCGCCTGCTCCCCTACACCCCCACATCCCTCAGTCCCCTGCAGCGCCTGCTCCCCTACACCCCCACATCCCTCAGTCCCCTGCGTCAGGTGCCTGAGACCTCTCTCCAGGGCAGCCTCCTCGGCTGTGCTTTCTCCAAGACCCTGGCGCCCTGTTACCTGTCTGTCTATCATCTGCTCTCCCTGCCCACTAGGAGGTGAGCTCCACGAGGGCAGGGCTTGGCTTCACTCTCGGGTGTGGCCCCAATGCTTGCAACAGTGCCTGGCACGATAAAGATCTGCTCAGGGCTAAGTGCAGAAGTGGTAGGACACTGAGATGACACTGTCGGGCAGGGGGTCTGAAATGCCAGGCTTGGCAGCAGGTATTGGAGTAAACTGTCATTCCTACTACCTTAGCACTCCCAAGATGCCTGACTCTATCCCCAGGATAGAACTCTGATTAAATTAAAAGGCAAGAATTCTTTGATCAGCCAGGTTTCCCTTCTGTGCCTTCGGGTTTGGGGATTTAATCAATCCTGCATTCTGGGGGATTGTTCACTGGGTAAATACCTATTGAGTATATAAAATGTAGACTTTCTAATTCAGACAGGCCCTCCACAGAATGGCTACAGAAAGAACCAGCACCAAAACAGGCTTTCCAAATATAAAGAAAAATAGGGGAGGCTTCCATTTCTAGCAAAACAGCAGCCCTAATATGCTGAAAAACCTCTTGATATAAAAACCTCTGGAAATGCTTCTACATGTATTGCTGAGCTGCGCAAGAAATCACAAGGGGCTGAGAACGAAGAGCAAGTGGAAAAGCCAGAGTGGTGAGCTGAAGCCGCAGAGCCCTGGGGACGCCTAAGAGCTGCTGAGAGCCACAAGACATGGCCTGGCATCCCTGTGAGGGGACTCCTGAAGGGCCACGCCCTCAGTGCGGGGAGAGCCACAAGACACGGCCTGGCGTCCCTGTGAGGGGACTCCTGAAGGGCCACGCCCTCAGTGCGGGGAGAGCCACAAGACACGGCCTGGCGTCCCTGTGAGGGGACTCCTGAAGGGCCACGCCCTCAGTGCGGGGAGAAGGCCCGCTGACAGCAAGGAGACCCCAGCTGGCACCCAGTGGTGAAACCACCCTCCATTGGGAATTCGTAACCAGAGCTTGTCCCCACACAGGTTCGAGGGTGGAAATTCACATTACTTCCAGGGCCTGGAAAACCACAAGCAACAAAGGTGCCATCAATCCCTCCCTGCTCCTCAGGAATCTGAGGCCTGGCAGCAGCAAAGGGTCCTGTCAGGAGTAGGCTGCCAGGACTGGGAATCATATAGGATACCCGGTTAAAATCCTTGGGACATACTTATACTAAAACACTAGCTGCTCTCAATTCAAGCTTACCTTGGCATCCTGTACTTCATTCGGCAGCCTGACTTAGGAGGGACCCACTCTCACCAAATGCCCACAGATGGAGCCCCACGGGGCAGAAGCTCAGCACCCAAAGTCTCCAACACAGAGAAGAAAAGAAGTCACCATGGGTGAGAAGAAGAAACAACGAACAAGATCAAACAGTGTCCAGAGTAGCACTCCAGAGACAGAGCATAAAGTAACTAGGTTTACAATGTCCACAGAAAGAGAAGCAAGCGGGAATTACCAGCAAGGAATAAGACCCTACCAACAAGACGCAAATAGCACATAAAGAAAAATTCAAATCTAGACCCATCTTGCAAAACTGCAAAAACACTAAAGTCAGAAAAATCATGAAAATCCTGGAAGAAAAACGAAGACTATAATCCTTACTCTAAAGAATAAAGGTCAAAGCATTACTCCTTTCCCAAGAATCAGAAGTGCTACCTAATAACTTCTAACCTCCAAGTATCAACAAGGACAATACCCACCATAAAATACGCATGCAACGTCCTGGGCTTGTTACAACACACAGACCACCTATTTATAGAAGCACAGTGCAAGTATATTTTAAGTTTCTCACGAAAGTATAAGACATAGTTTTAGTAATTTTATTATTTTTGTAACATTAATTGGGATTATAGAAATTCTCATGTTGGTGACAGAATTTGGCTAAAACACGTATTTTTAAGATTAAAAAAAAAAAGGCTCCCAGAAAGCGAGAAACTGCCTACCAAGGTAATGGGCTTCCAGGAACCACTGACATGAAAAGGCATCCATGACCTCCACTTGCTCCCGGAAATAACTGGCCGCCAAATACCTTCTGCTGTAATATTCACACGTTCTCTGTGGAATGTCCTCGAATGCTGTTTGCTCCCCTGCAGCAAACCAGTGACCTGACGCGTGTACCTGAAGACCGATAAGAAGGTCTCCTCACCTCCAAAGACCGGTGAGAAGCATTTCAGGACCCTTTCTTTCACTCTGCGCAGCCCACTGTGGGTAGGGGATCCCCAGCTGCAAGGTGAGGAAGAGGCAATTCTGTTTACCTCATCTCTGACAAAGGCTGACTTTACTCTCCTTCAGTTACTTGTCTTTTGCAATTTTCATAAAGCAAAACCTGAACTCTTTTCTAAAAAACTTGATTCTTGTCTTGATTGTATTTACGGTTTCTTCTTCCAGTGTGTAATTATGGAAAACAGCATTTAATTTTGTTAGCAATTCAAACTTCACAATAATTCTTGCTAAACCTCAGAACCTCTAACTGTGACCCAACTAAAAACAACTTCAGCTGTCCTTGCCCGGTGGCCTCTGCGAGTTGAGGTGTCAGAGACTGAAGGCTCCTGGCTCTGGTATGTTCTCTGTCTGTTCTGATGAGATCAGACACACCTCCACCTGCACACATTCCTGTCTCCGGGCCCTCTCTCTTCCTACACACTTTCCATTTTCCTAGCTATGCCTGTTGTCTTCAGCTGAACTAGACAGGAATGAGATGAAGGCAACCTGAAACACAAATGATTCAAAAGAAACTCCATTTTCATGAACATTTGCCTTCCTAGTACACCACGAGTATTTGTTTCCAAAGGAAGGAAAAGAGTTGGAGAAAATGGGTTTTATAGTTAGGGTTTGATTTTTAATGTGTTTTTTGTGCAACAGTTGTTTTTTCCCCTCAGCATCTGACGGAAATCGCTGCTAGCACAAGCTGTCTGT